AGAGAGAGAGAGAGTTCTTCTTCTTCCTCTTCTAAGTCCACCATCTCTTCTTCACCCTCTCCCTATCTGACTTCTCAGTATTTGCAGACTACGACACAGAGAGAGAGAGTTGTGACTTGAGACTTGACGACATTGGATCCAGACTCGACATTGGGATTCAGACATTTTGACGAGGGACTATTTGGGCTTGTGCCGAAGACTTGGTGCTGGTGCATTCTTCCTGTGTGAGCGCCAAATCCCTTCACACCATGGAGTGATGATGATGATGATGTATGTTCAGGGCTGCATTGCAATATTGATTGTTCGGATCATTGGTATTTAAGTCTTCCGCTACGCTATCTTGTACTTTGTGAGAGGTCGGTTCTTGTTCTGGTCTGCACCGTTACAGTACCCAACACTGTGTGTGCGTGCTTGTGACCTGCGAGCCTGTCTGAGTGCTTGTCGGTGTGAGTGTGTGTGTGACCCGCAAGGGTACTTGCTTGTTTGGCAGACCCGCAGGGCCGGTACTTACCTGTGGCCGTGGCATTGAGGGTTGCAGCAGGGAAAACACTCAATTAGCGGAGCCAGGGGCCTGCGGTGCTTAGAGCAGCGGAAAAACACTCAAGTAGCAGGAAGGCCGGTACCGCACCCAGTAGCGGTAGATGTGTCGGGTACTCGAGGCCGAGATGAAAAGACAAAGTTGACATTTTTAGAGGCCCAGTAGCGGTAGGCTAGGTCTAGGCCGGTACCAGTCCATCCAGTCTGAGTCTAGAGCTTGTACGGGCAATATCAGAGTCTGCAATGATGTTTCCCTCCGAAAGTGAGGAGGTACCGGTTGCTTGGGAGGCCGAGCGGCCTGGAAGTCACCGCCCAGGAGGCAAGCAGGCCGCTATATCAAGAGGCCGAGGCAAGAGCTCGGCCTCATTCTTCAGTGTGCAAGTTTGGTGACACGCTGTTGGAGCGCTGGCTGGAGTGGCGCTGGGTACTACAGCACTGCTGGGAAGAAGAAGCCGGGAGCTTCCACCTTGGCTATGGTGGAGCTCTGCCGGTAGGAGGAGGAGGGAGAAGGGGACCAAGGGGGAGAGTGGCGAGGCACTTACCTGGCTATGGTAGACACCATCTTCATCTCCTTGCTAGGCGCTGCATCAGGAAGGCCCCCGTGGGGGTAGTGCCGCATCAAGGAAGCTCGGGACAGAGTCAGGCATGGTGGCTGAGTGGGCAGCGGCATAGCTGCATGGTGATGACCTTGAAGTGGGCAGCGGCATAGCTGCTTTGGGTTGTCCTTTGGACAGGAGGCTGAAGCCTCAGTAGTCCGCCATAGCCTCAGCTTGTATGTAGAGGAAGAGGAAGGGTGGCCATGGCTATGGTGGACCGTATGTTGTGCCTGCAGTAGAAGTGGGATTTGGACATTGATTCTGGTTCAGTCATTCAATATTATTATTGTTATTTCTTGCTTGAATAAGAGGGGAGGAGATAAGGAGGAAGAGATTGGTTGGCGAAGAAGAAGAGGCTTGACATTGGTCTATGCTGGAGTACATCATCTTCTTCTTCTTTCTCACTTCTTCTTCTTCTTCTTTCCCTCTCTCTCCTCTCAAGTTCATTCATTTCTTTTTGCAATTGGATGGCATTGTACTTTCAGATGAATGTATACTTCGAAATTGGCCAGGAACGTAACATGTGTGTAGCGCCAGGCCCCTTCACACCTTATGATGAGGATGATGTATGTTTGGTCTGGATTGCGACATTGATTGGGCTAGTCGTTGGTATTCTATCTCTAATGACTTGATTTGACATATCGCTAAACTTCTTTCTGTAAAAACCCGCTCAAAAAAGCCCTCGCACAAATTATTTGAGAGGGTGTAACGCAAAATATCGTTAGGAATCCATAAAGAATTCCTAAGCAAATCATAGGTTGAGCCGGATATATGGGAATCATTATTAAGATTTAGATAAAAATTAAAAAATTTGAATATTGAAACCATTAAGGTTAAAAGCCATGGTACTAATTCCTAAAACAGTAAACCAAATACCTACTACTGGCCAATTCGATTCTTTCTGTGCTATTCATTTTTAGATGATAACCACATTCTTCACAGATTCGTTGATTTTGTTTAAGAAACTTTACATATAGCATGCTTTTACAGTTGTCACATTGAAGCCATAGCCCTTTACTAGGATCTGATTCTGGATATTTCTAGTATTCCTCTACGTTGTCTGGTACTACGTGAGAGAGGTCAGTCCCGGTCAGGTCAGGGCTTATATCTAAGTCTTCCACTGCACTACAAGGTGCCATTTTGTACGTATCAGGATGTACATTGCTTGTTCAGATTCCACTAACATCGCATTGTCCATTCAGTCCTTTTTATCACATTGCGGATCCTTGGCTATACATACATTGCCCAACTGGGCATGTAACATGCGGTCAGTCCCGTGGTCTCTTCCAATCTTGCGGGAGAAAGAACACCTGAGTTTCCTACCGTAAATGATGAATAAGGGCCCCTACAAGGGAACACTAGAGAGGGGAACTGAGATGGCCGAGTTGTGGAGCGCCTTTTTCTTTTTTGTTTGTTTTTTTATTGAATACGAATCTCTTGGAACATATGCGTAACTGTAGAGCAGAATGTGTCCAATGGCACAAAAAAAAAGAAGAAGAAAAAGAAAGAATGTGGCCAATGGCAAATGATGAAATGCTTCATAATCCCATGTTATATGGGCACATTTTGTGAAGTGTAGATTATTACACTGATTTTGGGTGATGAAGTTAAATGATGTTTGTATTCTCTATGATATGCAAAATGGCTGTTGAGTGGTGTGACCCTGTCTCTCGGCTGGGAATACCTGAGTGCCGCCCGTGCCGTCCTTGGCGTGAAGCCAAGAAGATGCACAGCAATGGGTTCTGTCTGGGGCACAAAAGAGAAGCCAAGAAACTGGCCATGGAGAGAAAAGAAAGTTACCTAAAAAAAAAAAAAAAGGCCACCTCCCTCTCCCGGTTACGTCCCTCTCCTTGTCCCGGTGCGCAAAGAGCAGGTCAATGGCTCCTCCCTGTTGCCTGTCACCCTGTTCGGTTGCATGCATGTGTCTGAGACTGTTTTGTGTTTTTGTTGAAAATTTTCGCTCTTTTTGAACATATGCCAGTGTGATGCTGAAGGCGTTGAAGCAGTAGCTGTTTGCACAGAAGCCAAGTATGGACTTAGTGAAGGCTTGAGCAGGAGTGAAGTCCATGATGTTGCATCGTCGTCTGCGGCAGCGTTATGGGAGGCCTCTCTTGGGCTTACGTGGCAGCCACGCGTTGTGGTAGAATGGGCATTATGCCCCTTCAGAGTAGATCCTATTCGCTTGCAGGAGCTCCAACCTGATGTGGTTCTCACTGAGGTATGTTTCTACTACGACCCACACAGTTGCAGTCTGACATTGCTGCATTTTTATGAGAAATGCTGTATTTTTGCCTGATTTGCTATGGTCTCTGAGCCTGAGTCTGCTTTGCTATGTTTTGTTGCCTCAGTGTGCAAGAGTCTATCTGATGCTTGCTGTCTGCTAATATGTCTGTCTGCTAATCCGGTTCTCACACTGTGTTTCAGTGTCTCAGGGGGGGTTGAATACGAGACAGGCATAGTTACAGGGGTGGGACCGAAATTTGGGGAATAAATGATTTCGAGAACGGATGGAGACAGGTGTAGTTACAGGGTTAGGACCAAAATTTGGAGAACGGATGGACTTCAATAATTCTAGGACAGACAGGGACAAAAGTCGAATTTGTAACGGACCGGGTAGGGATATTCCAGTAAGTTGGGTAGGTCTGGAAGTCCGGTGTCACCCCAGGGTTTACTGAAAGCAGCCCGGACTCTTAGAGATTGCCTACCATCGTCTGTCACACCCTTTCAAGTTCGAATGCTGCCTTGCCATCCAAACTTCGACAGGAGCGTGTCCCTACCGAGGCCACGTCGTCACGACCACTAGCGAGGACAGAACCACCGTAGTTCTCTCGTCTCGACCACGCGTTGGCATTAGACGTTGCAATTGAAGTAGGCTTACTACACAGGCCTGCCTTCAAATGCTACTCCAGTGCCATGACAGCGCATTTCAAAGTGGCCGTAGTACATTTCGCCCATATGTGGCCCCAACTTCTCTCCGATCGCTGACCATCCTTCTCTTCCCGATGGACAAAACGCATCCAAGATCTCTCCCCCTGGCTGAAGAGCCCTGCTGGCTCAAAGTCCGGTCCACCTACAGACTTGAGAGGTTCATTGCTTCTAGCCAGCCTCTAGTGCAACTCCAAAGGGTGCAGCCCCTCACTTTACATTGACAGTCCACAATTGGTCCCCTCCAACACCGTCTCTCACAACAACAAAAGGACAATCTCGAGGTCCCCCTCTCCAGAGAAGGGGTATGGACGGCGCTGATGCAAATGGAAGAGGAGACAACACCCGGCATCAACAGCTTCCCAAAGGCATTTTGGGAAACCATGTGGAACATACTAGGTGAGGACCTTATGAGATACTATCGCCAGGTGTGGCAAACAGGGGAAACGGGAGAACTGGTGGGCCAGGGAGTTCTGACCCTACTTTATAAAAAAAAAGACAAAATGAACATCAGAAACTATCGACCAATAACGCTCCGGACGGTAGTTTAAAAGATGTAAACCGGATGTAAACCGGATGATCCCTGTGATGGAGGACATCATTCATCCGACACAGACAAGCTTCATCCAAAATAGGAACATCGAATAAAATATCCTCGTGGTCAATGAAGTTTTTAAGCTAACCAAACAAACCAACCAAAACGCGGCCATAATCTACATCGACTTTGAAAAGGCATACGACCATGTAGACTGGTTCTTTCTCGATAGATGTCTCCACAAGATGAACTTTGGGCCGACTTTCAGGAGGTGGGTAACAATACTGCACAAGAATGCCACCACAAGAGTCCAAATTAATGGCAGTCTCGCACCTGAGATCCAGCTGGCCCGATCAGTGAGACAAGGGGACCCCATATCGCCTCTTCTTTTTGTAATTATAATGGAGGCCCTGGCCGCAAACATAAGACATCATAAGGATCTAAGAAAGATCCGGGTGACAACCATCGCTGAGGAAGCAATCCCAATTTGTTCTCTCTTCACAAACGACCTGACAATAATGATAGCAGCCACACAAGAGAACTTGGAGGAAATCCGTAAGCTAATGGATAAATTTTGTAAAATATCAGACATGGCTGTAAACTGGGGGAACAAAACCCAAGGATGGTGGATACATTCCCAGGGAGGGAGGCCGCCAGAAGAACCCAAAATCAATTGGCTGGATAAGGGCGCATGAGTCAGAGTCCTAGGGGTCTAAATGACAGCAGAAGGACGCCCAACTTCTAATGACGAATGGATCACAGGACCAGTTGTACAAAAAATGGCGGCATGGAGAGGGAAGCATACGTCATTATTTGGGCGAGCTCTGGTGGTGAACAATGTGGTACTAGCGGCACTTCGGTACAAGTCGTTAATATGGCCCCTGAGTAAAGAAGCACAAAAAGCGCCGCGAAGACAGGTGGCTGCCTTCCTATGGGGAGAGGGGACCACGAATCCCCAGACGCAATCAGTCGAGTAGCCTTGGACTTAGTCATTCAACCCAAGTCCCAAGGAGGGTTAGGCATCATTGACCCGACCACACAGACAGCGACGCTCAGCCTAAAATGGATTTAAAAGCTCATATTAGAACCACAATCCCCATGAAGCTCTAGCATTGGATCAAATTAGACGCCTAGCTCCACAAGCACCTCCTTCTATTGACCCCCTGTTGTGGTTGGAAGACAGATACTCGGCTCTCCCACGACTAGCAGGAGAACGAACAGAACCCGAGACACATTCTGGATGGATCTCATAAGAAACTGGAGGAGATTACACCTGCCAGATAGATGGCCCCCAGAGAGATGGGAAAAAGTGTACAGGCAGCCCCTGTTTGGCAACAGGTGGCTCACAGACACAAAGAGCCAGGTTCTCTCTCTCTCTCTCTCTCTCTCTCTCTCTCTCTCTCTCTCTCTCTCTCTCTCTCTCTCTCTCTCTCTTCGTTCGTGGCTGTCTTTCGTGGCTCCCCGTTTGTGGTTTTCTCTCTCTTTCTGCCCGTTTGTGGCTCTCTCTACCTTTCTCCCTCCTTCCTCTTTTTTTTTTTTTTTTTTCTTTTTCTTTCTTAATGATCCGCGCGGCTAATCCATCCCTCTCATCGCCCACGTGTCCACTCGGTACTCCCTCCTCCTCCATCCTCCTTTCTCCTTTCTCCTTCCTCCCTTCTTCTTCCTCCATCTCTCCCTCCTCCTCTCTCACTTTCTCTCAGTCCATCTTTCCCTCCTCCCCCCTCCATTTCTCCCTCCTCCTTTCTTCTGCCTTTCTCCCTCCTTTTTTTTTGGTAATTATATGTCGTCTGGAATGTTACACAGTAGAGGGGGATCGGAGGGGAGAGTGTGGAGGGGGAGAAGGGGAAATTTTTGTCATTCGAGGGGCTGACCTCCATTTGGTGTTGTTGCCTTCTCCATGATGCAGGTGATAGTGCCGATGGCGCTCGCTCTACCAAAGCAGCTCATTGAAGAGAGAGAGTTGGCCCGCTGATTCTAATATGAAACGGGTGGGGGAACCACGCAATATACCAGGGGAACCAAAAAAATAAATAATTTTAAATAATTGAGGCGGCGCATCTGGCACACCACCTCCGGGCATGGCCCGCACGTGCGCGCGCATCAGCGCATGCGCATGTGTTACCCGCGCATGGCGCATGGAGATGCGCGATGCGCGCAATGCGCGCGCATCTCCATCGCGCGCATGGCGCAACGCACAAATGCGACGCAAGTATGGTTTCAATGGATTCAAAAGAAACAAATATTTAGAATCAGGGTGCTGGAAAATGCTCTTTAGAAAGACGGGCGTACCGACCGGAGACCTCAATTGCCATGTTACCCTTCGACCTGCTTAACTGGAGATGGACCCCTTCGAAATCCCCTCTTACACAGACTCTCGGTTAAATCCACCTATTGGATGGTCCGACCAAAGAAGAAACTGGTGGACAACATCAATGACAGATGGGAAAAGCACCTCAATGTGTCAACAGACTTACTGAAACCAATCAAGTGGTTCCAAGAAATAAAAAGGAAACCGGCAAAGATGACATCTCTACAATGGCAGATCGCGCACAGGTGCCTTCCCACCCAAAACTGGTTGATAGACCGCACCAGATTAGAACAGAAGGGGTTGGCGTCCCCTTGGTGTCTCAGCTGTCTGCAGAACTTCCCTAACAGGAAGATACCAGAGACCATAGAACACATCTTCATGCAGTGCCCGGGAGCAGTCCTCACCTTTCGATGGTGGGACTGGATATGGAAGAAACCGTGGGAGAGGATTGGCCATGGGAGCGGAGGGCGATACTCACGGGGCATTGGCCCCAAGGCCAGTCAAACGATTTCAGATCCAATATGTTTCAGCTTGGCAGGCGAGCTAGCTTGTGGACATTGTGGTGGAAAAGGTGTATAGTGGCCATAGATAAGGTGAGGGTGGAAGGACCGGAAACAACTGAGCAAATAAAATCACACATACAAACAGAATTGCAATCAAGGTGGCAGGATGTAGTAGAGAAACTGACCCTACTGAATGACACCTTAGAAATCCAAATGAAAATCGACACCTTCAGCAGAGAATGGTTGGAGAGTGAACAAGGAAGATAGATGGCATCGGTAAAATGGGAAGGTGCAAGGAACCCGACTGTTCATCACTTGCTGGAGTGCATAAGATCAGTTTTCCTTCCTTCTTGGGGACAAACAAAACTGGTGCTCCAAAAGGAGACGAACTGGGCCTAATCCATCCTTTCTCAAGAATCTCATCCAACTGTTTGCGCAACTACTCTAACTCTTTAGGGGACATCCTGTAGATTGCCCCCTTAGGAGTCCTACTGTCAGGCTCTATCTCTATTCTGTGCTGGATCGGTCACGGCACTACTCCTGTCGACGGCTTTGTCAAATCTTTAAACTCTTCCAGCAGTTTGGCAATGGCTGGATCCATCGGACTATCCTCTCCCTTAGGCTCAGTGACAGGCCTTACGTAGGCTACGAAGACCTGCTCTTCTAACTGCTCCTTTTTAACTAATCGCGCGAACGCAGGAGCACTGAGACAGCAACGTGTCAGTGAGTTATCTACTCCTGACATGTGGAACAGACGGGCCGCCTTAACCTCGCTTGACGGGCTAGGGAGCCTACACTCATGCTCTCTCAAATGAAGTGTGGCCCCTGCTGCCTCTCCCCAGTCCATACGGACCATACCTAGGACTATATCGAAAGGAAGGTCATCCTGTACGAGGAGAGTCAGGGAATGGAGAACGTTCTCCACCTTCCCATCTTTCTCTAGGCGG